TGTTGGATAGTTGTCTCATTGATAATTATACCACATCTCCTTATTTTATACAGAAGGTACTATTTCAGTTTCTGATTTTGTAAATATACATTTTGTCGCTATAAAAGTTAAAGATTCGTGAGAAAGTTACAATCTTAAGAGTCTCTCAAGTTCACCAGGGGACATTTACATGCATAGCTAACAAATTCAATACACACAAATTTCTAAAGTTGTCCTTCATTTTTTTGTTCGGACAATATTATACAAATGGTGTGTAGTACATAACACGTCGAATGAATTATACTGTTGACAGGCTCATATGACATTATTTGATGAAGACGTGACAAACTGCGTCCAATAAACTATTCTATTGGAACAAAGTTTGGACAATTATACTGACACTCATAGGTTAATGTCATTATTGTTTCACATCAACAGTATGGTCGTTCACAACTTATTTAAAGTAAGGTTGACATTGACAAGTCGCTCTCAAACCACTGCCAAGTTGTTCATTTTCCTTTCTTAATCTAAGTTTTTACTCAACGTCGATGTATTAATTAACTTTTATTCTAAAATTGATATCTTAATTATTAACTTGAATCACGCTAGAAAGATCAAAGGCAACCCAATGAACTTTCCTTCTTCTGCATGTTGTACCTTATGTCTAACAATCGAATGAGAGGGGGTCAATTTCCTACGTCAGGGTAGAACAGTTTCATAGTTTATAAACTGGTAATTTAGACACTAATAAGGCATATTTTTTCAAAGCACTGAATACTGAGTGAAAGCTATGCATTATTTTTTCTGATTCAAAAGATGCAACTGTTAATATCGCGTTGTCTTTCTAGAAATGCGTGTCAATATTAATTTAAATTTGTCGCATATAAAAACTAGAGGCTCTAAAGAGCCTGTGTCGCTCACCTTGGTCAGTATGTGCATATTAAACAAAGGACACAGATGGATTCATGACAAAATTGTGTTTTGGTGATGGTGATGTGTTTGTAGATCTTACTTTACTGAACATTCTTGCTGCTTACAATTATCTCTATCTATAATGATCTTGGCCCAGTAGTTACAGTGGAAAATATTTTGTAAAAATTTACAAAAATTTATGAAAATTATAAAAAATTGACTATAAAGGGCAATAACTCCTTAAGGGGTCAATTGACAATTTTGGTCATGTTGACTTATTTGTAGATCTTACTTTGCTGTACATTATTGCTGTTTACAGTTTATCTCTATCTATAATAATATTCAAGATAATAACCAAATGCTGCAAAATTTTCCTAAAATTACCAATTCAGGGGCATCAACCAAACAACGTGTTGCCTGATTGGTCTGAAAATTTCAGGGCAGATAGATCTTGACCTAATGAACAATTTTATTCTTGTCAGATTTGCTCTAAATGCTTTGGTTTCAGAGATATGAGCCAAAAACTGCATTTTACCCTATGAACTATTTTTTTAGCCATGTCGGCCATCTTGGTTCGCGGGTGGGTCATCGGACACATTTTTTAAACTAGATACCCTAATGATGATTGTGGACAAGTTTGGTTAAATTTGTCTTAGTAGTTTCAGAGGAGAAGATTTTTGTAAAAGATTACAAAAATTTACGAAAAATTGTTAAAAATTGACTATAAAGGGCAATAACTCCTTAAGGGGTCAACTGACCATTTTGGTCATGTTGACTTATTTGTAGATCTTACTTTGCTGAACATTATTGCCGTTTACAGTTTATCTCTTTCTATAATAATATTCAAGACAATAACCAAAAACGGCAAAATTTCCTTAAAATTACCAATTCAGGGGCAGCAACCCAACAACGGGTTTTCAATCTGAAAATTTCAGGGCAGATAGATCTTGACCTGATAAACAATTTTGTGTCAGATTTGCTCTAAATGCTTTGGTTTCAGAGATATAAGCCAAAATCTACATTTTACCCCTATGTTCTATTTTTAGCCATGGCGGCCATCTTGGTTAGTTGGCCGGGTCACCGGACATATTTTTTAAACTAGATACCCTATTGATGATTGTGGACAAGTTTGGTCAAATTTGGCCCAGTAGTTTCAGAGAAGAAGATTTTTGTAAAAGTTTACGGACGACGGACGACGGACGACGGACGCAGGACGACGGACGACGGACGCCAAGTGATGAGAAAAGCTCACTTGGCCCTTTGGGCCAGGTGAGCTAAAAATGATTTCTTTTTCGATTGACAGTCCCCAACACGAATGAATATACACCACATACAGCATGGTGCCTTAATTAAGTCAACTTTTTTAATGGCGCTGGGTGATGATTTTCGTTAACGTCATTATCGATTTTGTGTAACGTAAAATCAATAACATGTGTTCAAAGGGGAATTACTCGAACTAAACTTTATAAATACGTATTTTTAAACCGGAATCGTGGCAAAGTTTAGCCATTGTTGATATCAACAAAAATGGCGAAGCACGGGAAAGAATTGTCAGACGACACCAAAAAGTCTATCATAAGTTTAATTGAAAGTGGTCATCGAGCAAGCAGTGTTGCGAAAAGCTTAGGAATAGCTAAATCCACAATTTCCAGGCTTTTGAAGCGTTGTCGGATGCGTGGTAATACGGAAAATGTTCCTCGAAGCGGAAGGAGAAAAACTGTCACCAAACGGGCAGAAAACACTCTGTCACGGATTGTGAAAACGTCTCGCCGTTCAACCCTAAAGGATATCACAAAGGAATTTAACACTCGTACACCTGCAAAAGTATCCAGAAGAACTGCTCAAAGAAAATTGCATGAATTAGGGGACACCAGACGATCTGTTCGGTAGATAATTGGCATCAGGGTTGTAAATCACAAGAAAAGAGTTGCTTATTGCAGGAGTAAACTTCATTGATCTGTTAACAATCAGTGGAAAAAAGTTATATTTACAGATGAGATGATGATGGTGATCAAACCTGACGGTACACTTAAAGTTTGGAGGAAGTCAAATGAAATTTGGAGACCTGAATGCCTAGGATATGTTGCACATCGACCGTCCACCAATCTTAAAATTATGGTCTTGGGATGTATTTAGCATATTATGGAGTTGGTGCTTTAGCTATGATAAATGGTAATATGAACTCTGTCAAGTATATAGAAACACTGGACAATAATTTATGGCAAGTTGTAACCAAACATTTTGGCAATGAACCTTATCTATTTCAAGATGATAATGCACCCTGTCATCGGTCAAGGGTTGTAGAAGAATGGAAAAGGCAAAATCAAATACCGCAACTTACCTGGCCTGCACAATCACCAGACTTGAGCCCAATAGAAAATGTCTGGCTTCTGACGAAGAATAAAATAAAAAATAGACTTCATCTGGTTCGTAACGTTGAAGACCTTAAGTTTGAATTACTGCGTGCCTGGTTAGAAGTGCCATTATTTTATATTCAGAGACTTTATTCAAGCCTTCCACGTCGCTGCAGATAAGTTCTAGTTCAGAAGGGTGGCATAACAAAATATCAAAAATATAAAACTTGTTTTGTGAGGTTAGTTTTTATTCAAAGTTCATTCAACATTTTTGTTCTTTTTCGCATCCATTAAAAAAGTTGACTCATTTATGGCACTATGCTGTACATAGATACCAGATTTTGGTTGGTATTGCAAATATTTTAAACATTGCATAGCTAGTTTCAACAAATGCGCAGTTACAAAAGCTTTATCAATAAGGAAATATATATGATATGATTGTCAATGAGACACCTTTCCACCAGAGAGATAAATGATGTTGATGTGATGAACTACAGGTCATCGTAAGGACTTCAGTAATGAGCAAATACCATGCCGCAAAGCAAACTATAAAAGGATCCAATATGACAAAAAGTAAAACATTTAAACAGAAAAAACAAACAACGGCCTGATTTATGTACGAAATAACAAACTAAACAATAACACACATGCTATACATCTAGAAGTGACAACCACTAAATAACAGGCTTCTGACTCGTGACATACAAATATAGAATGTTTATCAGACTTAAACAAGCTCTAATATTTTTCAAGAAAAAAACATTAGAAAACATAGCGTTAACAGCGTAATGGTTTAATTTTAAGTTTTCTATGAAGTGTTTTGTGGACTTGTTTGTCCTTTCGTTCTTTTATACATTTTTAAATTACTTAAAAACTAAGGTTTTAACTCCCTCAGGCAATCTTAGATTGATTTAGCTATTTTGTCCTTTATGGTAATATAGCTCTTTAACTGTTTTGGTTCTTATACATCCTTGGCTTTCAAATGTTTGGCTTTGTTCGTTATTATTCTGACTTGTTACATGCACATGCAGACCCTTTATAAGATTTGAACAAGCTCTAAAATTCTTCAAGAACAATTAATTACATGCAGAAAAAACACAGAAAAACAACCAAATGGTTCAATTTTAAATTTTTTGTGTATTGTTTTGTTGACTTGTTCGTCTTTTCGTCTTTTTTTTGTAATTTTTTGAATTATAAAGAATCTAAGATTTCAACTCCCTGAAACAAAGTTGACTTTATTTGAGCGTTCCTGATGACGGTAAAGCCAAAAAAGCGCTTCGGACGCCAGAAATTTATAACATGTTGCTTTAATTTTTTTCCGTTATTTTCAATGGCATTGACCTTTTTTTTCGACTTATGAGTCTTGGATGTCTCCTTAGTATCTTTCGCCCCTTTTTTACAACAAACGAGTTTTTGCGGTCGACAGTCCCAAGATATAATATAATGAACTGGAATCATGCGGGCAGGGTCTGCATACCCTTTGGAAGACGTTGAGATCACCCTTGGTTTTAGGTGGGTTTTTTTGCCAAATCTTAGTTTCCTATTTTGTGTTTTGTAGACTGTTATTTGTCTTTTGGTCGTTTTTCGTTTTTTTTAGCATGGCATTAGCATTTGTCGGTTCGTTTTCAACTAATTAATTTGACTATTTCTTTAGTTTCTTCCGCCTCTCTTTAATGCCAATTGTCATAGTTTTGTATTTTTATCTTTTTTTTATGAATTTAAATTTGTTTTGAAAAACAATGTTTTCTTTAACAGCGGATAAAGATGGCCCACAGTCAGTCCATCAACTTTCTATAGGAGGAAATAGATGTCATACGGATTTGAAAGCTAATTATATGCATGATGAAACCGGATTTAGGAAATATATAACATTTTTGAATATGCAGGTAATTATCACTGTTCATGACATACTAGTCAATGAATGTTAAAATAAAAGTAATGTTACAACTCACTATTTTCTTCGAAAATACCTGTATAGAGTTAGGAATATGAAAGTTGTTTCCATTCGTTCCGTTGATTAATAAAGTCTAACGTTTGATTGTGTCTGCTGTTATGGACTTCCCTTTTGAATATACCTTGGGGATCGGTATTTTTTTGTCATACATTTTTTACTTACCCATAAGAAACATACCACAACGAGGAAAATAATACAATTCCTGTAAACCAACTCCTCATCTGTGTCATATCTTATTACGAAACGAAGAAAGCCGTCAGGTTTAATCTAATGTTAACCTGAAAAAAGAAAAACAGCGACAATATATTTATGATGTATCTACATAGAATAGTTTTAGCATTTTCCGTTCATTATCAAATTATTTGAAGATAGAAAGAACATTTGTGATTCCTTTTTGTATAAATTTTAGCTTTATGTCATTTTATAGGTATACTGTTTAGTATAGTGTCGATTCGACAAAATAATTAAAGTAAGGAAATGTTTTATAATTTGCAATGTGATGACTATACACCTGAGACCAATTGACTATAGTTCACCGTACAGTTGTTTTAAAAAGCGCAAAACCCATACCGAATAGTAAGCAAAAATAGACACGACATGACAAAATATGATACAAATTTAAAAAAAAACGGCTGATTTATGCTGAAACAATAAAGTCTTCTTACAAGCTTGTTTATGTTCTTCTCCGTAAAAAATATTTGCGCTTGAACAGCTTATGTGTTTTATCTGCCAGTCATTTAAGAAGTATAAGAAACATTCAAATAAACGAAAATTGAAACCAAAAGGTAGACATTACTTGTTCTAATGTATCACGTAATATACCCTTCTCGTAAGCCGACACCAAATATATTACAATAGTACTCAAAGCTGCTCTATAAAACCATATGGTTGTTAATCACAGAACGCCTCGGTTGTCTCGTGGTAGCGTGTTTGTCTCGAGTGCGGGAGATCGTGGGTCCAAACCCCTGCCGCGTCAAACCAGATACTATAATATTTGTATTTCCTGCTTCTCCGCTGAGCACGCGGCATTAGGGAGTAGGAGCAAAGACTGGTCGGCTCGGAGTCAAAATGATGTGTCCGGGTATGGTGACTTGTCTTCATGCAGACTGTTACCTTGTGAACTATAGCACGTTAAAAATCCGGACCAGCGTGTCTGTCTAGTACAAAGCAGGGTTAATATTCATATCACATTAACATGTTCTTGTCCTGAAAATGCAAATTAATTTGCCGCTAGACTTTAAGCAGCCATCCATCATCATCTTTAAATACAGAACGTTAACACTACTTTCATTAACAGAAAACTTATCTCGAAAATTTCAAAAACCCTATTTTGTTTTTTGTTGGTGACGCTTAAGAACATTACAAAAAAAATTATCCCTAAACCTCTATAATTTATCCAATGCTCTTAAAGATGCTATAATGGAACTTAAATATGTAACCGCTGAACGTTGATAATGGAGAATGTTACGATGTTTATATGTATATAATTATGTATAACAAGATATGGGTATTTGCAAACGAAACACCAAAATAAAAAAAAATATCTAAAGATAAGGACAAAACCGTTAAACATCAAAGAATCGTTGCCGCAAAATGAAGTTTCGGTGTTTCATAAGAATAAGGATTGATAATGTTATTGTAATAAAATAAGACGGACTTGGGATCGATGGTACATATTTGTTTTTCGTTCATTTTTTTGAACATAAACTAGGTTGTTAGTTTTCTCGTTTGAATTGTTTTACATTTGTCATTTCGAGGCCTTTTATAGTTGACTATGCGGTATGGGCTTTGCTCATTGTTGAAGGCCGTACGGTGACCTATAGTTGTTAATGTCTGTGTCATTTGGTCTCTTGTGAAGAGTTGTCTCATTGGCAATCATACCAAATCTTCTTTTTTATAGTACGGAATTTTCATTTTTTATAACTATTAGCCAGGGGCCTCAATGTCAGTTTTAAAGACAAAGGACATGATTATATTATAATGAGCGAGATTTCATAACCAATTATTTTTTATTAAATATGTGAATGACGTATATTTATCTGATTTATGAAAACTAATTATCGTAATCACATGGTCAAGAACGTCTCGTCCCAGTAGGTAACAACCCAGTATTAAGCTATCAAAGGCCGACAGGAAATGTATGTCACCGACTTGGCCTGCCAACGTTTTTTAATCAAGCGCCAATGATTAGTATATAATGAAAAAAACTTCTTGTCTGTTGTTCTTAATCAAAAGAAGGTCACATTCGGGGAAAGGGGACTGGATTGTAGTTACGACGATTGGAACATATCCGCTATCATTTGTGAAACGGATATTTATTCCATACCGGTCAAGGAACTCGTGATGTCGTCCGTAAAATTGACAAAGGGATGATTTTAACTGCACTCTTGGAAAGTATTAGTTTAAAGCGACTATTTAAAGAACAGTATAACAAACAACAAACACATTAGTAGATAGTGTCAACAACGTAGGTGTAACCCTCGGAAAATGGTTAATTCAATGCATCAATGCATGGGTACCTCTCGCTATGAACTTTCAGTTATGTTGAAATCGAGTGTATCAATGTACTTGTACCTGACAGACATGATTTAATTTATTAGAGAATATTAGATATATTTTAGTCGAACCTAAGGGTATCGCTAGTCAGTCTAATCAAAGAAATCCAAATTTAACCATCTGCGTCTAATGAATTATTTGTTATTTCAATTATTTTTTGTCCTATAGGTTGCAATTTCCCATAGGAACTCCCTTTGCGGCTAAAGCTGTGCCATTTTTACTATGAAGTTTCGTAAAAAAATATATCCTAGAACGGAAAGTTGATATGCACTACTTTTTTTATTCAAAGGTCAAAACATAGGGCTGTGCGGCATATTTTCAACATTTATATGCCCCGAACTTCTAAGAGTTTAAACTTGTACTAAATTATGTACTACCCCTACCTTCACTTTGAGTCTTCCTCAGAATTCAGTTTTCGCCGCTACCATGTTTTTTTATACTATTAGCATTCCCATGTTTTTTCTCTATGAGATGAAACATAGAGATCATATCTGGGAACCAGTACGTAAACAAAACAAAATATCTATGAAATTGTTTATATCTCCCCAAAAGAGGCGTGGCTTGTGAAACATCTGTATTTACAAAGTGCAACCTGTATTCTTGAACTTCAGAACGGAGCCTGTACCCCGCAAAGTAGCATTTTTAATAAATACACAGATAATAATGAACCCTAGTCAAGCTAGCGAACAATAAGCCAGCGAACAATAAGAAAACGCGCCAACCTGATCATGCCTAAAAACCGAAGACTTGTAATAACATGAAACGTCCTTTGAAATCTGACGACAATCATTTCCAGTAGGAAGACGAAATGCAATTCGTTTTCACAAATAAAAATTTATTAGGTATTTGTTTATTTAATGCAACTTTTGTTTATAGTCGTGCATCTAAAATTCCTTTTAGGTAATCCTTTCTCTTTTCAGTGTTCTCTAATTAGAGATGGGTTTGTCGTCTTTATTATAGTGAAACAATTAATTACAATAGTTCATACTAAACTAGTGTAACGATAAAATTAAATCTTCTAGCTTATATATGCGTTTAAAAAGAAAAGAAAACTAGAGGCTCTAAAGAGCCTGTGTCGCTCACCTTGGTTATGTGCATATTAAACAAAGGACACAAATGGATTCATGACAAAATTGTGTTTTGGTGATGGTGATGTGTTTGTAGATCTTACTTTACTGAACATTCTTGCTGCTTACAATTATCTCTATCTATAATGAACTTGGCCCAGTAGTTACAGTGGAAAATATTTTGTAAAAATTTACAAAAATTTACAAAATTTATGAAAATTGCAAAAAATTGACTATAAAGGGCAATAACTCCTTAAGGGGTCAATTGACAATTTTGGTCATGTTGACTTATTTGTAGATCTTACTTTGCTGTACAATAGTGCTGTTCATAGTTTATCTCTATCTATAATAATATTCAAGATAATAACCAAAAGCTGCAAAATTTTCTTAAAATTACCAATTCAGGGGCAGCAACCCAACAACGTGTTGCCTGATTGGTCTGAAAATTTCAGGGCAGATAGATCTTGACCTAATGAACAATTTTATCTTGTAAGATTTGCTCTTAATGCTTTGGTTTCAGAGATATGAGCCAAAAACTGCATTTTACCCTATGAACTATTTTTTAGCCATGTCGGCCATCTTGGTTCGCATGCGGGGTCATTGGACACATTTTTAAACTAGATACCCTAATGATGATTGTGGACAAGTTTGGTTAAATTTGTCTTAGTAGATTCAGTGGAGAAGATTTTTGTAAAAGATTACAAAAATTTAAATGGTTAAAAATTGACTATAAAGGGCAATAACTCCTTAAGGGGTATACTGACCATTTTGGTCAAGTTAACTTATTTGTAGATCTTTCTTTGCTGAACATTATTGCTGTTTACAGTTTATCTCTATCTATAATAATATTCAAGATAATAACCAAAAACGGCAAAATTTCCTTAAAATTACCAATTCAGGGGCAGCAACCCAACAACGGGATGTCAGATTCATCTGAAAATTTCAGGGCAGATAGATCTTGACCTGATAAACAATTTTACCCAATGTCAGATTTGCTCTTAATGCTTTGGTTTCAGAGATATAAGCCAAAATCTACATTTTACCCCTATGTTCTATTTTTAGCCATGGCGGCCATCTTGGTTGGTTGGCCGGGTCACCGGACACATTTTTTAAACTAGATACCCCAATGATGATTGTGGCCAAGTTTGGTCAAATTTGGCCCAGTAGTTTCAGAGGAGAAGATTTTTGTAAAAGTTTACGGACGACGGACGCAGGACGACGGACGCAGGACGATGGATGCAGGACGCAGGACGCAGGACGACGGACGACGGACGCCAAGTGATGAGAAAAGCTCACTTGGCCCTTTGGGCCAGGTGAGCTAAAAAAAAGATTTCTTTGGAACGTCAAGTATTTTTAGATTTTCAGTTGAGATCAAGGCTGATAACAATACGCAGTTTTCTTCTTTTGTCAAAGAACTACTAACTTTTTTGAATTATTCAAAGTTATGTCGTTAAACTGGTAATTTCGATAGGAAGAGTGATTAGTGTAAGAGTGACACACAAATAGAACGAAACATGAAGTGATTAA